TGTTAGTGTGGCCTGTGCAATGAGGCTGCGGCGATGATAGAAAATAAAAGAGAAACAAATTCAAAGATATTGAAAGATGTGGGCGTTCTAGTGTACATACAGCAGCAGCAGCAACAGCAGCTGCTGCACAAGTTGCTGCTGCTGCTGCGACCACACATATACAGCAGCAGCAGCAGCAGCAGCACGATCCGCTGTTATTTGTTTGTTTTCTACAAAATAACAAATTAATTGAATTTTATTTGACATTTAAGCTGCAGTTGTGTCTATTCAGACACAAAGAAACAGCAAACAACAACAAACAGCAGCAGCAGCAGCAGCAGCAACAGCAGCAGCAGCAGCAGCAACAGCAGCAGCAGGAGCAGCAGCACAGTACAAGAACGTTTGCTTTCGTAGTTGCTGAGGTGTACATACACCCCAAATATGAGAGCTGTAAATACAGCAAAAAACAAATAAATAAGTTTAATTTATTTATTTATTTATTTTATTATGTTTTCTATTGAAGCCCGAGAGGGGGGGGACCCCAGGCTGCTTGCTGCTGCTGACGTTGCTGCAGCAGCAGCACTCTGCTGCTGCTGTATTTGTTTCTGTCAGTTGCAGCATTTATTTTAGTTTAGTGTTTAATAAAAAAACACAAAAAAACAAAATAAAAATAAAAAAATAAAAAAAAATAAAAAACACCAGCACCCCTACCTACAGACAGACAGCCAAGGATAATCTGCTGCTGCTCTAAGTAGCTGCTGCTGCTGCAGCACAGCTTTCTTTAATTACATTCGTTCTGCTGCTGCTGCTGCTGCTGCTGCAGCAGCAGCGCACAGAGCAGTAGCAAGGTTGTATGTAGCAGCAGCAAGAGTGCATACAGCAGCAGCAGCAAGAGTGCATACAGCAGCAGCAGCACGAACAGCAGCAGCAGCAGAACAGCAGCAGCAGCAGCAAGAACAGCAGCAGCAGCAGCGAGATGATATGTCTGTATGCTGTTTTGTTTCTGCTGCTGATCTAGTTGTCTGCTGCTGCGGTGTATGCTCAGTTCTGTTTGTTTCTTTTTTATTTATTTATTTTGTCTTGTTATTTCTTTTGTTGTTTTTTTTGTTTTTTGTTTGCTGCTGTATATTTATTTTATTTTTATTTTTATTTATTTTTAATTTTTTTATTTTCTTAGCTGCCTCACCGATCTCCTTTTATTGTTTTTGTGTTTTTTAGTCTACCTGTTTATTTATTTGTTTTTTGTTTATTGTTTTGTCTGTTTTGTTTGTTTCTTAATATATTTTAATATATATATATATATATATATATATATATATATATATAT